TTTGACAAATTTTGCGCTGAATTCGCTAAATGGTTGTATGCTTCACAATGCACGATGTATTTAGCTACTTCAAATGGTACTGAAGTTCACCTAATGTTCAAAGTAAGATGGTCTGTCTAGTTTTAAGTTAGAGATACTTGATTGAGGTCTCTGTCGGAGACGATGAGTGCCAAGCTACTGTGGGTCATGGTCGAGGCAAATGGGCTAATGAACTTGTGGATGAGACCAGAAAAGCTATGAACAGCATCACAGAAGTTGAAGAAAAGCAGATGGAACGTAGGGATAGCGGATGTAAGTCTAACCCTTCTCTTATCATTGACAGAGGTTATGAGTGATAGCATGCCATTGGGAGCCGTTTCTAAGATATTGAAGATGTGGTGAAATTTCGAATGTGACGTTGTTGAATAGTAGTCTGCCATTTTTCGCATGGGTGTGTGAGTTCATTACACGAGATTCTTTACTTACTAGTTCCTTTCGCTTTTCGATAGACAGTAGCGCTCGAAATTTCTTGGCGCTCAGTTTCTCTATTTATACACATACCGCTATTATTTTGATTAAATGCTCATACTCAGCAGAATGAAATTCTGTGAAAAAAATTGCCGAAGGCTTTCGAGAGCTACTGTTTAGATACGACGAGTAGCGTACTGTAGCCGAGTTGTAAGATCGACAACCGCAGCCTTACTCATAGTCCTGGTAGAAATGATTCACGTAAAGTGTTTCGGAGATTCTGATATTAGGATGGGCAGAATGTATGCTGAAGTTCTCGCAAAAGTAGGTATTTCCCGAGATTTTCTGGAGGTCTTTGAAGCTGTCTCCCCATATTCCGCGTCTGCTCATTTACGAACGTGAATCTGACCACCCACCTGCGGACCTGGTGCCATTCTGAGCGGTTCTGTGCTACCTCTGGTTGAAATGCTTCAAAGCCTTGAGAAGGTCGAGAGAACCTTGGCCTGGTCAGTCGATTGCGACATTTTGACAGCTACTGATGTGTTTGGCTGCTTTCAGAGTTCACCATTGTGTCTTCCGTGTGTGCACCAACCGACCGACCGAACACGGCGGCACTAGCCACTTGTTGACAACACTGGACGTCAATGGATCGCGTACCAGTGTTGTCAACATGTAACGACCAACACCGTCGGTCGGTCGGTCGGCCGGACGCACCCTTGGACACACGGAAGGCACACCAGTGAAATCTGAAAGCGGCCTTTTGTGCGTACAATTGAGTAGGGTCCTTTCAATTCCATAGAATCTTCCACAAAATTTCGGGAAATGCTGAGTAATTGTGAAAGTTGCGGCGCTTACCCTAATACAACCTAATCCAATGCATCGATCACCGACCGACTGTGTGGCTAGTGCAGCGCGGTTGCGGTAAGCAGATCTATTGTTGCAGTCGATATATCGCGAACTATGAAGGTATGTAACGGGGTTTTCTTTCTTTTTTCGTTTGAAGTTCCTATCTCACTATTTGTACTTAGATTTTGTGGTACTCTGTGGATCTGCTTCATCAAAGCAGCACAGCATAAAGTTAGAATTAAAGTCACGGGAGTCGCCAGTAGTACAGAGGCATTGGCGCGACGGTATCGAGGTGTCTTGACTAAAGTTACAAGGTTTTGCTCGCAGCAATCACCTAGTCAGCAAGAAGTCAGCTTGTTTTGAAGTTTAACTATGAATGTTAGCGTCCTTCAAGCGGACGGTAACCCCTTATTGCTCTTTCAAAGGTGTTCTCTGATTGAGCTTATTTGCGTTCCTCTTCGCGGCTGAAATAACCTCCAAATTGTGTATTGGATCATATGAGATTCCGGCACAGACGGCTGCATATGTCGGAGTGGTTTCAGCACCAACTTTCAGTTATGATTGTTGAAGGAATTTTCCCTACCTTTGCAATCCTACGTCTAGCAAAACCAAAGAGTGCTGTTGACCGACCAAGCTTCTTTTCTAATTTCATTGGTTTTGAGCTTTTATTTCCTCGCACTTGCACTCCTCTTCATTGAGCCGTTGATGTCCAATTCACCGATATAACGCATGAGTTTTTTTCAGCTTTGCCAAACAAGGATCATAGCATTGTGGCCGACGAAAAATGTATGTGGACGAGTTGTCGTGTGACGATCTCTTTTTTGACGTAACATCATATCGATCCTCTGCTAATCACTAATCATCTAGCTGGCAATCGATTATTGACTGATTCACAACAATTCTGTACTAGGAGGTGTCAACCCTCCAAAGAGCTTCATGTCTATATGTGCATAATAGTATAACGAAGATGGCAATGGGAT